TAAAGAAAAATGGGATAGTATACACAGCCCTCTAAATATCTACAGTTTGTAAACTATTTTATCTCCTTGATAGAAAGCCTTGAAATATATGTAAGTCTAATAACAGAAAGAAAAAAGCCCTCATCCAAGACAACTGTTCAAATTTTAACAGCAGAGGAGGAAGTATAAAAAGGGTTAAGATTATATTCTCCCTTAAATTTGCAAATAAGGGAAGAGGAAATGTTGGTTCTTCTCCTAGTCATTGGAGGGCTCATGCTTAACTAAGCTCTATCGGACAACACAGAAACAGAGCTTATTGCAGCACTGTTCACAATAGCAAAGGCTTGGAACCAACCCAAATGCCCATCAGTGATAAACTGGATAAAGAAAATGTGGCACATATACACCATGGAATACTATGCAGCCATAAAAAAGGTTGAGTTCATGTCTTCTGCAGCGACATGGATGAAGCTGGAAACCATCATTCTCAGCAAACTAACACAGGAACAAAAAACCAAACACTGCATGTTCTCACTCAGAAGTGGGAGTTGAACAATGAGAACACATGGACACAGGGAGGGGAACATCACACACCAGGGCCTGTCAGAGGGTGGGGAGGGATAGCACTAGAAGAAATACCTAATGTAGATGACGGGTTGATGGTTGCAGCAAACCACCATGGCACGTGTACACCTATGTAACAAACCTGCACGTTCTGCACATGTATACCAAAACTTGAAATATAATAAAAAATAAAAACACAAAATAAAATAAAACAAACCAAAAAAAAGAAAAAGAAAAAGAGCTTCTCTTCTAGCCCCCCTGTTTTAAACAGATAGAGATGGTAAGGTACTCAAAAACTTACTGTCTGAAGAACAGAGGATTAAAATGTGAACTTGACTCATTTACAAAATCCCAAAGTAAAGAACAAGGACAGTGGAGAGAAGTTGTGTATACAATATTCCATCAATCAGATGCATCTAAATTGAATTGGATTATCAATGAAAAATTACTGCATTTCAATATATCTTGCTGTATTTCCAAAATGCAAGGGGAACAATAATGAACATAAAAAATAAATAGTAGTACTATTTTTTTATTTACATTGTTTTTTAGTGTTGTATTATTGTTTTCAATTTTTTAAACATATTCAATCTGTGGCTGGTTTGAATCTATGGATAAAGAACCCACAGATAAGGAAGGTCTACTGAATTTGCTCTACCCAAAATGGCAGTACCATAGAGTACATGTCATAGAACCTGAAAATCTGAATATAGAACCATTTAGCCTACCTCAGGTAATTTTCCATCAAATATTCTGTTCCTTACTCTTTTATTCAACAGATATATTTAATTATCCCCAATCTGTCAGGCACTGTGGTAGACACAAGGATATAACAGTCAACAAAACAAATCTATCTCTGCCTTCATGGAGCTTTTGGCTATCAATCATTCCAATCTATAACACTCCCTGTTCAGTAAGGAATCTCAGAAATGCTGTAAATCAAAGATTGGAAAAGTGGCCCACAGGCTAAACCTGGCTGGTCTGCTTCTATAAACCACATTTCATCCAAACAGACATGCCCATTCATTCATGTATCATTACTTTTGCACTACAGCTTTGCAGTTTAGTAGTTGCAACAGAAACAGTATGGCCTGTGAAGCCTGAAATATTTACTCTATTGAATAAATGTTTATTTTTTTCTGGCACTGTTCAGAAATAGTTTGCCAAGCCTTGCTCTAAATAAAACCTAATGCTTTAAGGATGTATATTAAAAGATACATACTGTCACTCATAAAACATCTCTGAATTCCTTAGTTACAAACTATATGATGGGGGGTTGACTTCCTACAGGGATGTATTTCTACCACTATAATGTTTATTTTCACTTTCTTTCCTTGTAAAAGCAGGTAACAACAAAAGCATTATGTGGCTACTATCTTCTATTAACAGCTTACTCTCCTTAGATGATGTTAACGTTGTCTTATGTCTAATCTTTTGATAGATCAGAGTTCTTCACATCATAGAAGGCCCATTTTTCAGAAAAGATTCTTTTCTCTGAATCAAATCAAATAAATTTTGACAGGGGTGATTTTAGGCTATCTTTTAAATTGAACAATAAAATTGATTGTAAAAGCACTTAGCCAACACTCAAGTGCTATATAAATGCAAAATCATAGCAGCAATAGTACCTTCGTTTCCCTGAAGATACATGAGTGGATACTTAATCCGCAATCACTTCATCCAGAGGGCGTTAAAATTTTAAATGAAAGAAAAGAAGACTAACCTTCACTGGCTGTTACCAAAAAGTCCTAATAAGAAGTGACAGGCCCTGTGCTCACTGTGGTTCCGCCAAAGGATGTTAAGAGGCTAAGGCTGTGGCTGAAAATCGATTTGCCAAACCCAAAACCCTTTCTTTCCCTAATGGGAATCAATGTAGCATGAATAAAATTTAATGGCTACTTAGTTCATATTTAGCCACCATAATGCAGAAATAACTGGCTTGAGAAAGATCCTTACAAAGCCTTGGTTTTTGAAAGTTTTCCCACTTTATCAACCTATTGGCAAAATACATTTCAAGTGCTCAAGAGTGGAGAACCAGCTCACCAGTAAACAGAGAAGAGGAAATGGGATGATAACAGGGCAAGAGAAGGCCGCATTAGGGGTGGGAGGGCTGACTTGGTAACAAGAGAGATCTCTTTTAGGCACCAGCTTAAACATTCTATTCTTGAATATTCCTTCCTTGATACCCTCAGGCCATGTCAATTCCTTCTGATTACAGGTGCTCTTAACATTCTATACCGTTTCTCTCAGTTATCACAATTGCAGTTGGATAATCCGTATGTAGTCAGTTGTTTGATGTCTATGGGCCTTAGTCGTAAGAGAGCTCCACTGAGCCCATTGCCTATCTGTTCAGAGCAGAAATCTCTGTGGCTAACACATGATGAGCTCTGAAAATCTTAGCTGAATAACTTAACATGAATGGATAGATAAGCCAGCTGGATTCTAAGCACTCTGCTGACACATAAGGAAGCTATGATTACTCGATAATAATCTCCTCAAAAATAGCCAATATCTTCCTTCCTATCCTTTAACATAAGTTATATTCTAAGAAAGTGCACTAATTGCATACCAAACCCTTGTACCTTTTCCATCAATCCTCTCCTCTCAGCTCTTTCAATGTCGTTTCCTGAATTGACTTCTACCTTTCAATACATAATCATGTTCAGGTTGCTCCCAGTTTTAAAAAAAGAAAAAAAAATGATCCAATCACCCCCACCTGACCTAGGTGTTCTTACCAAGGTCGCAAATGACATCATAACTGCCAAACCTTAAGACCACTTGCAAACCCCCATTCTATTTCTCTACAGTATTTGACCCTGACAACCACTCTCCTCTACTCTTAAAACACTTTGCTCTCCGACTTCAGCAGCCTTACTCCCGTGATTATTCTCCTGTATTTTAAAATGTGTCTACATTTTTCCTCAAACCCTTAGTATCTCGTCATTATGATTGTATCAGTCTTCTAACTGATCTCTAACTCCCTCCAATCTATTCTCCACAATGTAGTCATACGTATGTTTGCCTCAACAATGCTCCTAAGTGACCTAGCCTAATTTAGCTAGCTTTGTTATAATAAATTGTCACCCTGATCTTCAGCTTCAAGCACCTTGGTATGGCACAGTTTAATGTACACATGCCTTACGAAAGAATTAAAATATTATCTTTGATCTTCACCACAATATCCAATGGACCGCTAACATCCTCATACACACTAAAGGCATGGTATAACGTAACATTTTCTAAGCTTTAACAAGGCCTACAAAACACTTTTTGCAAAGCTGATTCCAAATACTGGCATTCAGACACATTCACAAAAAAAGAATTAAAAACATACTCATGGTTATCAATTTTTGTGTGACCATTTTCAAATTTTACATCTGAATTATGTCATTTATGGTCCATTGTCATGTCCTCAAAATCATCCATACATGTTTCAAATTACACATGCCCTTTATTGCATTTGATATGAAACTCTTCTGAAGGACTAAGTCCTCACATATAAAAATAAATAGAATAATGGATAGCAACTCACAAATCCCCGTCAAGTGACTGAGTCTCTTTGCAGTCATATGACACGATGTAAATCTCTCGATTTTAAATAGACAACAAAAATACAAACAAGTCCCCCAAAAGTGATCAATGTGTGTAATCAATTTGACACAAAGGTTGCTATTGAACAATATATTCTATTCATATTTTTCTACATTATGTGCATGTTATGAATATTAAACAACTGCACATTGCCTTATCTATGGTTCCTGATGGAATTCAAGTCCAAATGTGTCTGCAGTTCCAGACTTTAAAACCATTCAAAGCTTTTCAGTCCAAGAGGCAGACTTAATTCCTGCCTCTTCAAACAATCTAGACCCACCAAGACATTGTGTTTTCTCCATATATATGTGGCTTCCTGCCTTTATTCTTAACAAGCCCTTCATTTATACTGTACTCCTCACTCCTGCCTTTTTCAAATGTTTTTTATCCCTCCTTAAAGGGCCACCTCCTCCATGAAGCTTCTCCATCAAGCCCCCATGTCCCACACTACTTTATCAAATCCTTCTTATACAAGTTCACCCTTTACCCTCAAGGCTTGCTATGGATCTATAAATCCCTTGCTAACTGAAGCCTGTGAGGTTCTTGAGACAAGAGACCACGGCTGTCCCACCTTTGACACCTACAGCACTTCACCTATTTTGTCCAATAGAACGGGTGCTTAATAGAAGATCTGCTCAGTGAATGGATTGGACAACTCCACCAAAGACCTCAAAACACAGGCCTCTTTTCCAAGCTCAGGAACCATTTTGGTGGTCAAGCCAGACTACAACATGCTCAGACTCCGGAATAGACCACAGAAATCCACACAGGTGTGGGCCGATGCTTCAGTAGCTCCACAGCAGATGCAGTCTATAATCAATTAGGCAAATAGAAACGTGCATACGTGTGCGGCGCTCCATACACACCTGCGAATATTGCGAGCTCACGTCCAAATCCAGGGCACGTGGAAGGGACAAGTGGTCCACAGGCGCAGAAAGCCAGGCCTCGCGCGGTGGGAGGGCGCCTTGGAAAGCTGTGCAGGACCCGCCCCACCTACCTTCTGGGTTCCTGTAGCGGGGGAAGGCGCCCTCAAGCGGGCACAGGCGCCCTGGTGCAGGCGCTCTGCGCCATCCCCAGGGGCGGGGTTGCACGTGCTGCCCCGCAGGTGGTCACCAGAGCTAGCCCGGAAACGCTGGCCCGCCCAGGGCCTTCCACTCCTCGGGGAAGTGAGGCGGGAGCCAGTTCCGGAGACCACAAGCCCCAGAAGCCCGTGCGGCCGACTCGGCCCCTTCTGCCCCTCTAGGCAGCTTGTTCCCAGGAGGAGCCCAGGGCTCCACAGCCAGTCTAGAGAAAATAACTCTAGCTTTGAGCAGGAGCCTAGTCAACTGGGGCCCTCGGCTCTACGGGCCCGACGTTCTGTAATTTGGGCTCTGGGCAGGAAATGGCGCAGGCCCAGTATTTTTCCTCTGGAGAGCGCCCCCTCGAGCCTGCTCGCCTGAAAGTGAGATTAAGGCCTTGAAGAAAAAAAAAAATCGCTAGAGAGATTTATCACGGAAATAAATGCATTGATTCTAATGAGGGAGCAGGATGGAAAGGGGGACTTCGGGACCTGATGAAAAGATGAATTATAAAACGATTTTTCATTTTCCAAAAGTGAAATGAAATTTTTATTTCTTGCAAGAAATTATGATTGTAGAGTGATTTTTCTCACCTTCCTATTTTTCACATTGTATTTTCGCTTTTTATTTTTAATCATATATTTTTGCCTTATATGTTGTTTTATAATTCTTTCATATGCTAGAATCTCGCTGGATTCTAAACATCCTGAAGGCTGATTCTCTGTAATATGTAGTATTACACACAATGCTTAGTTGCTGTTAAGTAGAAATCTTAATGTGTTATTTATAGAATAAAATATCAAGTATTTTTAAATAGAGATTTGTTAAACTTATTTTACTAAATGTATTTTATTTTATTAAGACATTCATTTGTATCCAATCAGTTATTTTAAATTTCTATACAATGTTAAGCATGATTGCTTTAGCCATCTGCCCATTAAAGAAATTCAAGGATTTTAAGTCTACTGTAATTTGTTTGATACCATTCATCTTTAAATCCTGCAAAGGTAACTTTAAGATAAACCAAGATTGAATTATCTTGAACTCCAAAGTAATGAACAGTAAATTAATGGCTTACTGTATTTGCTGTTCTTATTGACAAATGTAAAATCCAATCATCACAATTCGTTTCTCAGAGAGATAAACAAGGGTCAAGTAGGGGAAATGTAGAAAAGTGGCCTGTGTCCCTGCATGTGTGAAATTCCGTTTCAATTCCACTCATTCATTCATTGAAACATACTGGAATGAACTCGTGTTATGCCAGCACATCCAGGAGGCCAGCTCAGTCTCTCTTTAGCTGCCTCCCTTTAATTTGTCTTACAAGCTTCCTGTTCAGAGTGTTCCATCCACTAATGTCTTAACATTCTCCATGGTATCTGAGGCAGCTACCTTCACAACTCTTTCATGTCTTTTAACTGTTTCTCAGTCTTCTGGCTAATCTTTACCTGATAACTTTCATACCTGCTTTTGCCTCATATTCCTATTGGTCATCACTTAAGGACTGTACTTGCTTCACGTTCATTGCCAGCACATAACAGGAGTTCAATCCTGTTGAACTCACAGGGTGAGTCATGATTATTGCCCTATACAAGTGCACAGTCTGATAATTTAACCAAATGGGTAAACAACCAAAATACAGTGCAATCACTGAAATCCACGGGAAAACTGCAAACTGAATTTTAATGAAATCATACCCTTTCACATTAAGCCTTAGGTAGGTATCTCTTAATCTAAGTAAAATTTATAATTTTCTTTGAGCTTCTGAAAATAATGTGGTTATGAATTTTCCAAAAGTATATAACGTAGAATAACTTTCAGGAAAATTGTACGTTTTTGTACTGATTTTGGCCTCCCTCAATTTTTTTTTTTTTTTTTTTTTTTTTTTTTTTTTTTTTTGGAGACAGAGTCTTGCTCTGTCCCCCAGGCTGGAGTGCAGTGGCAGGATCTCAGCTCACTGCAAGCTCCGCCTCCCGGGTTCACGCCATTCTCCTGCCTCAGCCTCCCGAGTAGCTGGAACTACAGGCGCCCGCCACCTCGCCCGGCTAGTTTTTTGTATTTTTTTTTAGTAGAGGCGGGGTTTCACCGGGTTAGCCAGGATGGTCTCGATCTCCTGACCTCGTGATCCGCCCGTCTCGGCCTCCCAAAGTGCTGGGATTACAGGCTTGAGCCACCGCGCCCGGCCGGCCTCCCTCATTTTTAATGAGAATACATAATAGGTAATAAGTACATTTTTATTGTAAAAAGAAATTAATGGACTCCAGGTACTTGAAGTATTTAATTCTGTGTCTTTTAGGAACTACTTTTCTAAAAACATCATTTGCTTTGACCCAAGCCACTTTTCTAAAGGAGTTTATAAATAACAGAAGGTGAAAATGTGAAAAGATACGTGTAAGGTCTTTTACCTCTTCCTGTTATTCATTGCATTTAAATACAGAGGATCTGAATGGGGCTTGAGCAGACAGTCAGAACAGAATGTTTTCAAAAATCATGCTTCTCACATGTAACAGTTTCAAGAGAGCAAGGTTATTAAAAGTCAGTCTATAAATTAGCAAAGGAAACTATTAATGGTAATGATGTATAAATTTTCAGAGTTTGAACAAAAACACAAAAGAAAATGGTTTCTCTGTTTGCAAAACATAAAACCTTAGATGAAGAGAACACTAAATTATTATTAGTCGGTTTACTATAAAACAAAATTATTGAAATGGATAAAATGAGTACAAAAATGTAATCAAATAACACACAGTAACACAAATAACACCTTAGTTGCTGTTGTGTGTTATTTGAATATTAATTGTAAGATGGTTAGTTTAATCAAAAACAGCAGAATATCTAATAAAATCTCAAATAAAGATGTGAGTTATTTTAAAAATACCTATTGTTTTAAAACATTAAAGAATGACATTTTGCATTATTTTATTATATACAATTATAAAAATGATATAAACTGCTCTATCACAAAATAGAAATGTCATCAATAATTCGTAAGCCAACATGCCTTACACAGAAAAAAATTAGCTTTGTATTCAGTTAAGCAGTTCAGGAAACATTCATCATCTTAGGTACTACTTAGAAATAATAAAACCCCTGTTTACAATGTTCTAGCAGCCTAGAACCAAATTTTAAAGTCAAGTATAATGATTAATAATAACTAGCAAATATTACACATACTATACCAGGTAATCATGGACTATCTGATTTGATTAATCCTCACAAAATCCTTACGGGTCATGTAATGTTTTTAATCCTTAGTTTACAATAAGCTAACTCTGATTGATTAATTCATCCAAGGACATTCAGCTAGTAGATGGCAGAGCTAAGACCTCTACCCCACCCTTCACTTCACTCCACCCTTCACCCTTCACTTTTGCACCCTTCAAGGTGCAAAAACTTAAAGTGCATAAACTTAACCCTTCACTCCAGCACATCTGTAGGAACCTAGTTTTTAGATTCCTCCCAGGGCAGGGGTCGTCGCGAGAGACCACTCGACACGGAAGTCACAGCGGAGAGATTTATTGCTAGCGCGCTAGGGTCCTATGTCCGAAGTTGGCCACAGGACCCCGAATGCCTAGTACAGACAGTTTATAAAGGCAAAAACCACAGAAACTCACAAAGCTTGAGGCGCAAGATGATTGGAGCACGTTATGGCCTGAGCAAGGTGTCTTACTCTGATTAGTTGGTTTGAACCCGCGCGGGGTATTTCTCGGACTTGTTTTTCTGTTTGAGTTCCGGGAATTTTGGGTGGGTGTTTTGGATAGCCACATGGACGTTGGGCGGGTGCTTTAGAGCCTGGTGTGGCTTTTCTAAGCTTTCTAAGTCTCTAAGTCTCTAAGTCTCTAAGTCTCTAAGTCTATAAGTTTCTAAGTGTCTAAGTTTCTAAGTCTATAAGTTTTTAAGTTTCTAACTTTTTGTGGCCTATTTTCACATCCAGGAGGCCAGCTCAGTCTCACTTTAGCTGCCCCCCTTTAATTTGTCTTACAAGCTTCCTGTTCAGAGTGTTTCATCCACTAATGTCTTTAACATTCTCCATGGTATCTGAGGCAGCTACCTTCACAACTCTTTCATGTCTTTTAACTGTTTCTCGGAATTTTGGCTAATATTTTACCTGATAACTTTCACACTTGCTTTTGCTTCATATTCATATTGGTCATCACTTAACTATTGGCTGTACTTCCTTCAAATTGTTCTAACAGCCTAGTGTAATCTTCAACAGATAATAAATCTATGGTTATTTGATTTAACATTATTTCACAGAATCCCACATATCATTATCTTTAAGAATTCAATTGCTATTAACACAAAATTTGTAAATTTATAATGTCATTTACATAATTATTAGCATATTACAGATGCCCTCTTGCAACTTTTTCCCAATCTTTGTCAATACGGTTGCTATCTTTGCTTTAAAAGAGCAAAGTCCATAAGAGTTTATAGTGTTTAAATCTATTAGACTATGAAAGACATAAGAAAAAAATGTATTTTAAAAATACTTAACTTTGAAGCATAAAGTGTAGAATTGTGGAAAAGTGGAAAGATTGAGAATACAGCTGTGCAGAGGCAGTGTTTATAACTATGAATAATATCTCATTTTAATATACCTAAATCACACATTGTAAAAAGAACTATTCCCCGAATTAAAGTATTTTCTTTGTCTACTTATATATGTGAAGAATTTTCAAAAGTGTTTTCACTGAAATTTGTATTTTGAATATACAGAGAATGTTTAGGCTTTGAAAAGAAACACTGCAAACAAAAATCTATTTCTAAAGTAAATAAGTCTTTGTTGTATGAATATTGCACTCTAATTTATGTATTTATGAGCTCAGTTTTTCGTGCTATTTTATCTTCTCGGAACATCATATAGTGAATTTTGTGCTTCTTTGAATGAGAAGTTTCACGGTTTTACCAACTGAATTAATGAAAAGACATGCAAAACAAATGAGACTAAACTACTAAAATTATAAGCACCATAGAAGCCATTTTAGGTCTACTAGGAAAGAAGAAAGGCACTCTATTAAGATATCAAGTAAAAAAGCAAATAACTGAGGCACATTAACAATTTGGAAAAGGGACTTTAGAGATGCATATGGCGAAACCTTCCATGGAGACAAAAGAGCTTGTTCAGTTACTATTGGAGGCATTGTGACTTTCTGAAAGAATGGATAACAAAGAAAGGTAAGGCAAAAGAGGTGCTCTGAAGAAGATGTACTTTTAAAGCATTCCATTTGCATTAAAGAAATACGAGAATTAGGCAGAAATGTTAAGAAATATTCAGAACTAAATGCTGCCA